TTTTTGAAATAACATTACAGCAGCAGCAAGAAAGGTTCAGGGCATCGACTCAAGTGTAGCAGGCCGAAGACTCTCCACAAGGGGGTGCGATTATCACTTAAATAGTTTTTCTCATTGAAAGAGAGGAAACTGGCATGAACTCACACCAGCAGGGGCTCACGTTTTCAGTCAGTTTCACTTTCGTCTTTGGAGCATCTGAAGTAAACATAACCCACGTACACAAATGGACACATTACTTCACTTGATCACAGGAGCAATACTTGAAGGGCAGCAAAGCAGCAGTGCTTTTTCTCCTCAGTCGCACTTCATGCTCGTTTTAATATTGGCGGTTAAATCATACAGTCTGCAGGACTTTAGTGACATGCAGGAGCTGGACGCTGTACATGCTGTGATGAGCACAGAAATATGACAGGATTTCTGAAAAGAATAGTGTCCGCTAAAACATGGATGGATCTCGTGATGACTGACCCCATGTAGTAACCTGATGGCAATACTTAAAAGCCGATAATCACTGTGGTGGGAAAAAGAACTGACAGAATAGTGTAGAGGTCTAATTTACCTTTAAACTGCTTGCTAAATACTTTTACATAATATGTATTGCCGTTAGGCTATGATAGATTACACTCCCCACTGTCTGTGTTGCAGATTTCCCGTCTAAAGTGTGATTTACCGTCTAAAAAAATGTGCAGCATTTCCTGTGCAGCTGAAGCGCCCTGGTGGTTAAATTCTAAAAATTATGAAAATGTAAAACTACGTTGTTTTCCAAAAGCATCTATAGCTGAATTCCATAATGAATTACTTGCAGTTTGAAGTTTCTCCATCAGCATGCAGGTTGCCTGAACCCACACCAGAAGGAGCTCACAAATGCACGTTTGCAGTAACATCTATTAAAACGCCAAGTGAAGTAGTTTTCAAAAGATGTTGGATTACTGTGTGTTATATTATTTAATATGTGATTTTTAGTTAATGTTAAACAGTTAATGTTAAAAAAAAATATATATATAGAACTGCTAGAACTGCTATATAAAAGCTGCTAGAACGGCAGCTTTAGTGCCATATTTTTATACATGCCCCTCGACCAATACACTCACTCTGCTGCAGCTTAGACCAACTTTCTATTCTCTCTCTCTTATATATATATATATATATATAGAGAGAGAGAGAGAGAGAGAGAGAATAGAAAGTTGGTCTAAGCTGCAGCAGAGTGAGTGTATTGGTCGAGGGGCATGTATAAAAATATGGCACTAAAGCTGCCGTTCTAGCCAAATCTTGACCTGTTTTCTCACACATACACGTGCTCACACTCACGTTGGTGGCACAGTGACACCGACCTGAGGAAGCTTTAAATGCCGTCTGATGTGAAGGTTTGTTGGCCCGTGTAACCTTCTCCTGTATATCACAACAGGAGCCAGAGCCACTCATGCACTGAACTTTTGAGGTATTATACCAAAAACATTTACAAACAATTACTCTTATTGCTCCCACTTAAAATACTCTTGTTATTCTTTTCCTTTTGTTAAAAAGATACCATTTTGGAGACAAAACAGTTTGTTATGACAGTGGTGATATACAACACTGTGTGAAGCTCCCTTTGGTGTAATTTTAAGAGAAGAAAACAGAAGCAAACAGTCCAAAACAAGCTACATCAGGTTTGTGAGATGTTCTGAAAGCAGGCAGCAGCAGCAGAATGAGTTCATTAACTTTCATATAACAAACTTAAACAAACTTAGGGGCCTAAAACTAGTCACATTCTGTAATATTCTAAGGGAGCATTGTATTCCTTAGTCTTAAGACTGTAATAGGAATCATAATTTTTGTATGCTTTTTGCAGTTTCATCCATCACTACTTTCACTACATTTCCCAGCATGCATTACACAAAAAGTCATACAATCATTGGGATAAACCAAATAAAGAAAGGAGATAAAGAAAGTACGGAGCGCTGCTGGTGTCATCCTGTATAAATAAAAATAATGCATGGCCACAACTTAGTAAGGCATGGGAACAAGATAATTAAGTCATGGCTGCGACTTAGTAAGGCATGGAAATGAGCTCCTAATGCGTGGCCACAACTTAGTAAGGCGTGGGAACGAGATCCTAATGCGTGGCCATGACTTACTAAGGCATGATCTCGTTCCCATGCCTTACTAAGTCGTGGCCACAACTTAATTATCTCATTCCCATGCCTTACTAAGTCACTGCCACGCATTAGGATCTCGTTTCCATGCATTAATAAGGCGTGGCCATGCATTATTTTTATTTGTATGGGTTACTAATAAATAAATACTGATGTGATTTGCAGCCTCCTAGCAGTAACATTAGCTATCTGGTTTCCCTCTGCATTTGCCAGCCAGTGGAACAAAAAAATAACATTTCAAACAACTTCAAGTTCTCAAGTATCTGCCAAAAACAACTGCAGTTTTTCAAAAACCCCTCCCACCTTCAAGATACATCATCAGAAGTCTTCAAACCGCAAGATCTTACTCTGAACACTATTGCAGCACCACTGCAGAAGCTGAGAAAGCAAGTTTATATCAGATGCAGCCATGCTTACATATTTAATTTCCACCAGAGCGCCACTTTAAACATCATCTGATCCTGTGATACACTTTAAAACTATTGTGACATTAACTTCTATCATTATCACCCAGCACTACTTTCTATAGTGCTGGCTCACCACCAAACTCCACAATACAATGCAGCCCCGTGTGCTTATGAATGACTTCAGCCTCCACCATGAGAAAATACCATCAAACACGAACGGCAGCGAACAGCAAGTCAGTATGTCAAAGCAGCCCAAACTGTTTTTCCCCCACCCACTGCTCACCCAGAACCTTCTACTGTTATATATGGGTAAGTCCTGTAAGTTAGCTGGGATTTTCCCTCAGACGCAAAGACGCTCAGCAGTGACACTCTTCTGCCAACACACCATTGAAAGCTTGATAACAAAACCTGGAATAGACCAACGTAAAGAGCACCAGCCAATGCCAGTCACCACATGACGGAAAGAGAGCGGATGAGCGAGAAGATCAAAGCGAAGATTTAAGAGACCAAACAGCCTCGAAGCAAGAGAGAACCCTGTATTAACACTAATGACCCCAAGGTCCAGGAAGCACTTCAAAGATTACGAGTGGCCAAAAGTGGCCGAATTATAAGATGCATGAACTCTGCATTCTGTGCAGATACAGGATGGGTATTCAAATCAGTCAAGGCTGAAATCCATAAAATTAACCTGTTCACCACACAGACCAGGCCTACAATAAGCCTTTTGGGCTCTTCTATACGCTCAAAGTTGGTACACAAAGCAAACCAAGCAGACTTTATGAGGGAAAATGTGAAATGAAACATGGTGCGAAGCCTGCAACACATTGGCAGCGCTGGCAGTCGGGCTAGTGTTGCAGTCGCTGATTGCATCCACATGTTAGACATCCACTGGAAGGAAATGACTGGATATACATGGCTCCTGCACACACTGACCTCAAACTGACCAGTATGCAATGACAGGATAGTATATGTACAAATGTTTGTAGACAGCATTTCTTCTGAAATCAAGGGTGTTGAAGGGTGCAATGTCATGTAAAACCGAATTTTCCTTCTTTTTTTTTAATTCAATAATTTGTAAACATTTCAAAACCTACATCTACTCCTCAGTCCACACAGTCCATATATGGAAACTAAGCTGCACAAGCAGAACATTTTCAATTCATGATGTCGCAAAAACCAACACATTTGCATATAACCAAAGGCCTGTCACAGTCGCCTGAGCTGACCTCATTAATTGTCCACGCTTGTTAGTTTTATCAATATGTTTACACTGCGAATGCAAATTGGGTGTGTTTTCATCATTAACTGAAACACATTTGTGAGGCACATTAGGGGTCTTACGAAAACAACAGAAGTTGTAACTTCTAACTAACTCCTCTAGAGGGCAGCAGTGAGTTATGTTTGTTTATTTGAGCTGCTGTTAGCGGTATTAAGCATCAGCAGCTGGAAAGCAGGGCAGCCAATTAGCCAGTCTGGTCTCTTTAGGCTTATACTTTAATTAATAAACAAAAATAGACAATTAAACTATTATTCACAATTAATTATATCTGGCAATTAACTGTCAGCTAACATGTCATAATTTGGACAGGCTTAATATCAGTTAAGCCCTGCCCATTCACACTTAAGTGTTTCAGCAAGAAGTGCTTTTTGAATGAGGCGTTTACAAATATCAGCCTTAAAGCCGCAGTTACAAAATAGGGGTTTCTCCCTTTGCTGCAGTAACAGCCTCTACTCTTCTGGGAAGGCTTTACACTAGATGTTGGAACATTGCTGTGAGGATTTGATTGAGCATTAGCGAGGTCAGGTACTGATGTTGGATGGTCAGTTCTGGATCACTCCAACTCTTCCCAAAGATATTGGATGGAGCTCCATCACTCCAGAGAACACCCCTCTTATACCCCTCTAGCCCATGCTTGGCATTGGGCACGGCGACCTTCAGCTCATGTGTGGCTGCTCCATTCTATCGGTCAAAGCTTTCCATGAAGCTTACACAAGCAGTATGTGCCGAATTCCACAGTGTGCAGGGCTGTCTGGATACTTTTGGACATTTAGTGTTGTTTGTCAATGCACAGGCCTTGCAGGCTCCCCATTACAGGCCATAACAGCAGAACAGCAGCCCAGGCTTCAGACAGCAGCACCAGAATAGAAAGAAAAACAATTGCAAATGAAAACTGTAGCTGGTGGCAACCAAGCCATTGATACTGAGCTCAGCTGCAGCTTTATGAAGGAATGGCTGCGAATGAATGCAGCAGTGTCGCCCCCCCTCCTCTCTCCCTCTCTCTCTTTCTCTTTCTCTATCTCTCTATGGAAGGGGGCGAATAGAACTCGAGGAAAAATGCCCAGAACTGCATAGAAAGGCAGAGGCGACGTGTGTCGAAAATGACGGCGAAGGTGAAGTTGAAGAGCCCGAGAGGCAGCAGTAGAGGTGGTCGTGGTTGTGGCGGTGGTCGTATCTTACCGTCACGGTCGAGTTCCTCACGGCGCTGGATGCTGTCTGCCGGATCTCCGCGGCGCTGCCCGGCTTCAGCAGGTTTTTGGTGAACCTCCGGCTCGATTCGGCTGCCATTTCTTTCATGCCTCAAAAGCCCCCCTCAAAAATAAAAAAACAAGGGTCCCGTTTCCAGTCGTGCAGACAGCTGCTGTTCCAGACAGCGAGGAAAGCGCGCGCGCTCCAGCCTGCTACTGCTGCTTCTGCGCTCGCGCTCTCTCTCTCTCTCTCTCTCTCTCTCTCTCTCTCTCTCTCTCTCTCTCTCTCTCTCTCTCTCTCTCTCTCTCTCTCTCTCTCTCTCTCATGCGTATCAGCTTTAACCCTACTACAGCCTCGCGCTCGAGGGCAGGGCTCTGCTCACTCAGCTGCAGCAGCCCACACTCTCAGAAAAACGATGGTTCTTCAGTAAAAGGAATGGTTCCATTTAGAGCCATGAGTTCTACACGGAACCATGTGCATGCTTAAATGGTTCTTTGCATGGTGAAATGGTTCTTCAGATTGATGGAGAATGTGCTGTGTATGGTTCTACATAGCACCAGGAAGGTTTCTGCTGTTGTGATGATGTCAAGCTTGTATACAATTAGCAAGAACCTTTTTGGTTCTGTATAGAACCCTTTTCAAAAAGGTTGGAACCATATTCCATATCCAACACACTATTTTTACCATGCGAAAACCCTTTGTGCATGCAAATGGTTCTATGAGTGCTCATGGTTCTAAACAGAATCACTGCCTTTACTAAAGCACCACTGAAGAACTATCTTTTTCAGCAAAGGCAATGGTTCAGCATGAAATGGTTCTACGTAAAACTACTGGTTCTAAATAGAACCATTGTCTTTAGTAAAGAACCCTTGAAGAACCATCTTTTTTAGTAAATGCAATGGTTCTGCATGAAACGGTTCTATGTAAAACTAATGGTTTTAAATAGAACCATTGCCTTCACTAAAGAACCACTGAAGAACCATCTTTTTTAGTAAAGGCAATGGTTCTGCATGAAACGGTTCTATGTAAAACTAATGGTTTTAAATAGAACCACTGCCTTTACTAAAGAACACTTGAAGAACCAACCTTTTTAGTAAAGGCAATGGTTCACATGAAATGGTTCTGTATAGAACTCATGGTTCTAATTAGAACCATTGCTTTTTGTAAAGAACCCTTGAAGAACCATCTTTTTAGTGAAGACAATGGTTCTGCATGAAATGGTTCTATGTAAAAAAAACCTAACGGTTCTAAATAGAACCATTGCCATTACTAAAGAACCTTGAAGAACCATCTTTTTAAGAGTGTTCTTGTGTCCAAACAGTGTTTCATTCATATATAGTTACTTATTTATTAATGTTTTGTTTTTATTTGCATTATTGATATTTCAATTTATAGATTAGTCGATCAAATACCCACCCAACCCAGTACTAACCCGGTATTTCTGACGCCTGGCTGCGCTGTAGTTGTGTTTACTGTGATGCAGATATAGTATTTTTAATGTTTTTATTGTTTTGTTTGGCTCGCAGACTCTGCTGCAGGAAACCGATCAATAAGCTCAGAAATTCAACAGAATTCACGAGACCGCTGTGGAGTCAGCATAAATTGTCTCTGTCTCCCCAGGTTGAAGTGAAAAAGTGGTCCCACAGCGCACCCTGCTGGTGCAACCGTAACATCCTCCAGTCTCTGCGTGTATGTTAGAGGGGAATTCCACCAAATTTTCAAACATTCACATTTAATGTGAATAACTTCATTGCTGAGAAACCTACTAACTTCTTTACAGTGGTGGTGATAGGAACCAGGGGCCACCATGACTACAGCCCAAATATAGACATTTTATTTACTATCCAAAACACGTGTGCTCTGAGTTTTTATATCGCTGCTGTTGGAAGAAAAACCAAGTATCTCCATTTCTATTGTTTTTCAGTTTTTGACATAATCTGAAAGTGCCTGTTGCCCTTTACATTGTTTGTAAATTTCGGGAAGAATGAACCAAAAGAAACGGCCCAAAATGACTTGGAAAAAAATCTGGTTCCATTGACTAATATTAAAAGTAAAGTAGGTTTTTTCCTTCTCCTGTAAAGTTACCATTTTGGAGATACAAGATTTTCTTCTGACAACAGTGATATGTAAGCTGACAATGGTAAATCACTGATAAATCTGAAATAAGTTTTCTGTAGGGAATAGGGAACTTTCTGCCTCACAAAGCCCTGCATGCATCTCCACCATAATACGGCCAAAACCCATTGTGAAACAATGTCTCAGACATCAGGCAGTGAATTCATAACCATTTAATGTAATTACTTTCTATAAGAGAGCTTTAAGAAGCATATAAAGAGAAAAGCAGGGCTGGACGAAGACGTTCAAGGATTCAGGATTGATGGAAGAAACATAAGGAACCTTTAATAGGTGGATAATGCAAAATCTGAAAAACCTGAATGAACCTTATAAGCAAGCGTTTGCCTACTTGGATCAATTAATAACAACAGAGGATCCAGCACTCAAGAAATACGACACAGATCAGCACTCAGCAGAACAAGGATAAAGGAGCTTGAGAAGATCCTCAGATATAATGATGAGTCCCTACAAAGATCAGAACTGTCCAGGCTGTGGTTCACTGTGGTTCTTTATGGATGGGAAAGCTGGATAATAAACAAGCAAGACAGGAATTTTAAGGATTCCCTTAAAATTTAGCATTGGTGAAGACTTTTGAGAGAACCTCATGCCAAAGAAAACAAACAAATGGATCCTCAAACGAATCAAGCCTCGTCTGTCAATGGTGTCCAATGGTGACCGAACTGAAGATGTTACTTTGGATACATTCTGAGAGGAACAAGCTCGTTGGAAAAGCCAGTTATGCTCAGAACAGTTGAAGGTAAAAGAGGAGGAGGGCTACCAGCTACAAGATGGATGGAGACAATCAGAGGAATGAAGGAACCAGCCATGCAGAAGCCGGAAAACCCAAACAGAAGACAGGACATTCTGGAGAAACACTATCCATACGGTCACCAGGAATCGGAAACAACTTGATGGCACATTTAATTATGCAGAAATTTTGAGAAATTGGTGGAATTTCCCTTTAAAAGCTGCCCTAGTGGTGTAAGGAATGTCAGCTACATTATGTCCACCAAGCTGGGTTTTCATAATGAAGGAGAAGCTGAAGAGAACAAGGCTGTGGTGATTTCTGGTGGTCATATCTTCCTCATGGTGCAGGATGCTGCCCAGCTGGCATTCGTGCATTTAAAGGATTGTCTGAAGACTTTTGGTTGTATGGCGTATTTTATGACTAAGAAGGTTGTATAGTATTGTGTGCATTTGTTTCATATTTCTGTGGTTTCTACATTTACAGGCTAGACTCTAAAAGAGATTTCAAGATCATGGAAAAATAATTTCTGTTTGCTTTTTTATTTTTTAAATAACAGTTTAATTCAGTGTGTAAACATTGTTAAAGTTTCAAAAATTACCCAGTCCATACAGTTCATAAATGGTAGCTAAGCTGCAAAAAAAGAATCCACTGTTTTTCTGTCATGAAAACCAAGACATTCATTTCTATAGCAGTTTTGCCCCTCCCACTCACAATGAAGTTATAAAGAGTGTTTCAGCATAGGCTGGTTTCAGAAAGTGGCAGCCAATTAGAATCGAGGTCATTAACACATTGTGTTGGGTGAAAACCTTGTATTACAGACTGTAGTCCATCTGTTTTTCTGCATAATTTATTAGCCCCCTTTCACCCTGTTCTTCAGTGGTCAGGACCCCCATGGACCCTCACAGAGCAGGTACTATTTGGGTGGTGGATCATTCTCAGCACTGCAGTAACACTGATGTGGTGGTGGTGTGTTAGTGTGTGTTGTGCTGGTCTGAGTGGATCAGACACAGCAGTGCTGCTGGAGTTTTTAAACACCTCAGTGTCACTGCTGGACTGAGAATAGTCCACCAACCAAAAATATCCAGCCAACAGCGTCCTGTGGGCAGCGTCCTGTGACCACTGATGAAGGACTAGAGGATGACCAACACAAACTGTACAGCAGCAGATGAGCTATCATCTCTGACTTTACATCTGCAAGGTGGACTGACAAGGTAGGAGTGTCTAATAGAGTGGCCAGTGAGTGGAGTGTTTAAAAACTCCAGCAGCACTGCTGTGTCTGATCCACTCGTACCAGCACAACACACACTAACACACCACCACCACATCAGTGTTACTGCAGTGCTGAGAATGATCCACCACCCAAATAGTACCTGCTCTGTGAGGGTCCATGGGGGTCCTGACCACTGAAGATCAGGGTAAAAGGGGGCTAACAAAGTATGCAGAGAAACAGATGGACTACAGTCTGTAATTGTAGAACTACAAAGTGCACCTATATAGTAAGTGGAGCTGATGAAATGGACAATGAGCGTAGAAACAAGGAGGTGGTCATAATGTAATGCCTGATTGGTGTATAAAAAATCCAAGTAATTTTAGGCCATTTCTCTTACTCTGTTCATCATGAATTTTTGATGATACAATGCAAAGGGTAACTGGAGTTTTCAAATTATACAAAAACAGTGATAGTACTGTGGCATCGGTGTAGAATAAGACACAAGTAACATCTCTTTTTAAAGGCAAATGCTCTTTTATTGAACAGTCCTCTCCCTCTGTGCTCTACAGCATAGAAACTAAGTGCTACCTCCTCATCTTCAGGCACAGTGGAACTCCTTTCCTCAGCTATGACGGGTTTAAGACAGGCCGGTGCAGTGAGCTTACGTGCCCTTCCAGCTCCTCTGGCAGCAGCACACCCAGGAGGCACCCCAGGCTGAACCATTGTGCTCAGTTCTGCCACCAGCTAGTCCTTCTGCTCCTCAGGGAGAAGCCGCCTGGCTAACCATGCCCCTGGTGTCCACTTGATCCGCAGGAGGGCTGTGACCAACGTTGTCAGGTCACCGTGTTGCTTGTCAGGTAGATCCTCGTCGCTGTCAGCTGTCCAAACGTCCTCGCTGCTACATCTTTTGCCATCCCTCCTCAACAGGCTGTTTTTTCCATTGTCTTTGCCGCCAGTCCTTTCTGCACTGCTCTTTCTTCCGTGGGCTTCGGCCAGGCTCGGTCTTCTCCGCCATTCACCTTTTTGTGTTGAGTTTGTGGTAGCACCATTCTTTTCCAGGCCTCTGGGGGGAGTATCCCACTTCTGACACCAATGTGATGTCTTTGTACAATAAGAAGCAGGAAACATTGTGCTTTATAGGTGATTGCTCTTTTATTAAACGGGCG